AAAGCGCCCAGTGGCGATTAAATACCACCAAAAGAAAGCTCTATTTGTGAGAAAAAAATGATCAAAATTTCATATGGGTACAATGTTGCATGACCGCGCAATTGTCAATCAAACTGCGGCAGCGCTGAAAGCTGAAAATTGGCCTGGTAAATAAGGGGGTATAAGTGCCTGGTAGGCAAGTGGTTAAGTAATGTCCGGGGCTTTTAAAAACAAAAGGTGCTTTATGGTGACTTAAACGTTTAATACTTTTACCATTGCGCTGTTTATCTCCTCCTCCCCTCCATGTCTGTCTCCAGCACCACACCCAGGGACTGGGAGGGAGGGGAGACGTCTTGCAGTGTAATGAGCACCGATTGGCTGCCCGTCAGGAAAGGGGAGTGTCTGGCTTATCCTTTATCCCCTTCCCTGCCAGAGCTGTTTTTGCGTTATTTGCACATGTTTAAAAAATCATTTTAGGCCTGAAGATGACACAAACCCCTCAAACATGATATATTTAGTGAAAGCAGAGATCCTAGAGAATAAAATAGCGTTAGTTTCAATTTTTTATGTCACATGATATTATCACAAAGGTCTAGGAAACACAACTTTCAGCAAAAAATACACTTAAGTTAATTTTAGGGCACAAAAAGCAATAAATTATCCAATTTTTTTGTAAAATATAAAAGACAAGGTTGCAGCAAGTAAATAGATATCCAACATGTCAAACCTTAAATTTGCGTACACTCGTGAAACGGCAGCAAACTTTAGTACCCTATATTTTCTATAAGTGACACTTTTAAAGCCCATTATAGGTCATCAGTATAGTGTATGGAGGAGGTCTGGTGCTAGAATTATTGCTCTCATCCTGGCGTGTGCGGCGATATGTAACGTGTGTATCGCAATCCACGTTTTCATGTGTAGGCGCCCCAGCACATGCTTTTACGTTTGTGCGTGCGTACATATGTGGGGGGCCTTAAAAAATTTGAGGGTGTTATATGCTTGGGTGTAACTTACATTTGAAAAAAAATGTACTTTTTTTTTTTTTAATCACATGCGGGACAAAAAGTCCCCTATGTGATGATTTTTGGTGACAGGTTCTCTTTTTTGAGACATGCAGGGTCTTTTAGACCTGTACTACACTGAATGTAATGCAGTGCACAACGCACCACATTACATTCTTTCCCAGCCTCAATGACCAGGTATCTGTCGACCGGGGACCCGGAAGTGACGTCACATCACTTCCGGATCAGGAGAAGGAGGGGAGCAGATGTGTCCGCTCTCCTCCTTCCTCCCCTATACCACATCCCGCGGCACCCACCGAACCAGTCTCTGGCCCACAGATGGGCATGCGGAGCCCGGGACATATAGTGGCGGAGAAGCTGATGCTGTGTGGAAGCAAACGGGTGGCAGCACTGCCCGCAGCAGGGCTAAAGGCGAAAAAAACTACCTGCCCGGCGCCCAGAACTGCATGTCCTGGGCGTCGGGCGAAAGGAATTAAAAATCCGTGGGCATCATAGTAAATTATACAGCAATAACGGAAACATTACTCAATATATTAATAGGAATAGATTTACTGATTTTATACAGTACGTGTAAAGCATTACATTTTGAACTGTTTTATTGGGAACCTTTAAAAATTGAAGATTACAAATTACACCAAGGAAACAATTAATGCATTTCTGGTAACAATGTGCTTATTATTGATCTGCATGGGGATTATGGCTGGAATATAATGGTTACACATCCCATACAAATTCAATTTCACCTTTTTAGATAAAGACATAAGTAAAATTACTTTTATTTACTGGGGGAATCAAAGGTGGAGAAGGATCTGGGGGTTCTGGTAGATCACAAGCTTAATAATGGCATGCAATGCCAAGCTGCGGTTTCTAAAGCGAGCAAAATCCTCTCCTGTATTAAAAGAGGTATAGACTCCAGAGAGAGAGCTATCATATTACCCCTGTACAAATCATTAGTAACACCTCATCTGGAATATGCAGTTCAGTTTTGGGCACCAATTCACAAAAAGAACATTGGGGAACTGGAGAAAGTACAGAGAAGGGCAACCAAACTGATAAGAGGCATGGAGGAGCTCAGCTATGAGGAAAGATTAGAGGAACTGAATTTATTCTCTCTTGAGAAGAGGAGATTAAGGGGGGATATGATCAACATGTATAAATACATCAGTGGTTCATATAGTGAACTCGGTGTAGAGTTATTCACCCTGAGGTCATCACAGAGGACAAGGAGGCACTCTTTACATCTGGAGGAAAATAAATTTAATCTCCAAACACGGAAAGGTTTTTCTTCACAGTAAGAGCTGTGAAAATGTGGAATAGACTCCCTCAAGAGTTGGTTCTGGCCAGCTCAGTGGATTGCTTTAAAAAAGGCCTGGATTCTTTCTTGGATACACACAATATAACTGGATACTAATATTTATAGGTAAAGTTGATCCAGGGAATATCCAATTGCCTCTTGGGGGTTCAGGAAGGATTTTTTTTTTGCCTTCTTCTGGATCAACTGTGGGTATAGGATTATATATTTTGTTTCCTTTTTTTTAATATGGTTGAACTGGATTGATTTATGTCTTTTTTTTCAGCCAGACTAACTATGTAACTGTTTATGGAGATTATGGGGGGAATATCATGGTGTCTCTTGACCTATTTTGGATAAGCAAATGCATATAATTATTTTTCTACATGGGAATTATGGGTGCATTTTTGTGGATAAACATGCCAAGGATCATATTTCATCTATTTCTGACAAGATTATGGGTATAGCTCTTTTAATACATGGGGATTATGGGTGGAATGTCAAGGTTAAACACATTTGACCCCTTTCTGATAAGAATCTGAGAATATCTATTTTTCTAGATGGGGATTATGGGTGGATTATTGTGGTTATACATGCCAAGAATCATATTTACCTATTTCTGAAATTATGGTTATAGTTATTTTTTTACATGGAGATTATGGGTGGAATATCATGGTTTAACATGCCTAGGAACACAGTTGAACTATTTTTGATAAGAATAGTTATTTTTTTTTTACATGGGGATTAGGGGTGGATGATTGCATATACACATACCAAGGACCATATCTGACATGTTTCTCCTAAGAGTATGAGTATAGTTATTTTTCTCTATGGGGATTATGGGTGGAATATCATGGTTAAACATGGCAAGGAACACATTTGACCCCTTTCTGATAAAAATGTGAAAATAGTTATTTTTCTACATGGGGATTATGGGTGTATTATGGTGGATACGTATTGCAAGAACTGTATTTGACCTATTTCTGAAAAGATTATGGCCATAATTATTTTTCTGCATGGGGATTATGGGTGGAATATCAAGGTTAAACATGCCTAGGAACACATTTGAGCTGTTTCTGATAAAAATATGAGAATAGCTATTTTTCTACATGGGGATTATGGATGGTTTATTGTGAATACACATGCCATGAACCATATTTGACCTATTTCTAAAATAATTATAGGTATAGTTATTTTTTCTACATGGGTAATATGGGTAGAATATCATGGTTAAACATGTCTAGGAACACAATTGACTTTTTTCTGATAAGAATAGGAGAATAGCTATTTTTCTACATGGGGATTATGGGTGGAATATTCTTTTTCTAACATGCCTAGGAACACATTCGACCCTTTTGTGATAAAAATATGAGAGTCATTATTTTTCTACATGAGGATCATTGGTGCATTGTGGATTCACATGGCAAAAACCATATTTCACCCATTTCTGAAAATATTATGGGCATAATTATTTTTCTACATGGGGATTATGAGTAGATGATTGCAGATACACGTCAAGGACCATATTTGAATTGTTTCCCCTAAGAATATGGGTATAGTTATTTTTCTATATGGGGATTATGGGTGGAATATCCTGGTTAAACATGCCTAGGAACACATTTGACATGTTTCTGATAATATGAGAATAGATATTTTTCTGTATGGGGATTATGGGTGGATGATTGCAGGTACACATACCAAAGACCATATTTGACATGTTTCTCCTGAGAATATGGGTATAGTTATTTTTCTGTATGGGGATTATGGGTAGAACATTATGGTTAAACATGCCTAGGAACATATTTGACCCCTTTCTGATAAGAATATGAGGATAGCTATTTTTCTACATGGTTTCTACATGCATTGGGAAGAGGCCGTTTGGCGGGTGCTTCCAGTTCTGGGTCACCAGCGTTCTGGAGGCCAGCGGGAACTTTAAAAGACCACAGATCTCAGTAAAGCTGCGTACTCTGCAGCATGGAGCAGGCAGAGGGGGCAGCGGCAGAATCAGGCGCATCGTGCACTAGCCTATCCCAGGTAAGGGGGCTACTGTGGTGCCTTCTATCCTTACAGTGGGGCTTTTTGGTTTCTCTTTATGGTTATGTGTTTGGTATGCCTTCCCTGTTAGGGAAGCCTGCTGCTTAGGCACAGAGGTGACTCTGCTCTGCTCCATGGCTCTAGGGAGATGAGTTGATGGTATTGTGGGCTGAGTTTCCTCTCTGTCTCTCACCCTCTCTCTCTGTCTCTCTCGCCCTCTCTCTCTCGCCCTTACGGTTACGTCTGGTCTTGTGGTAAGAAGGGAGAGGAGGGGAGGTTAGGGTCCTGTTGGACAGGAACCTGATGCGTTTTTTTTTATTTTGTTCTTGTTCCCTTCCTATATTTGCAGGCCGCAGTCAAAGTGAAGGGGGTCTCGCCGATTAACCACTTGCCTACCAGGCACTTATATCCCCTTCTTTACCAGGCCAATTTTCAGCTTTCAGCGCTGTCGCAATTTGAATGACAATTGCGCGGTCATGCAACATTGTACCCATATGAAATTTTTATTGTTTTTTTTCTCACAAATATAGCTTTCTTTTGGTGGTATTTAATCGCCGCTGGGCACTTTACTTTTTGCGCTATAAACAAAAAAAGTGAAGAAAAAAAAAGTTTCTTTGTTTCTATTATAAAATTTTTCAAACAGGTAATTTTTCTCCTTCACTGATGTGCGTTGATGAGGTTGCACTGATAGGCGGCACTGATGGGCACTGATAGGCGGCACTGATGGGCACTGATAGGCAGCACTGATGGGCACTGATAGGCAGCACTAATGAGGTGGCACGGATAGGCGGCACTGATAGGTGGCACTGACTGGCGCAACTGCTGGGCACTGACTGGCACAACTGCTGGGCATTAACTGGCAGCACTGGGTGGCACAGGTGTGTGGCACAGGTGTGTGGAGCTGGTGGGTGGCACTGCTGGGCACCGATCATCAGGGCACTGATCATCAGTGCCGATCCCTGCTCTGACAACTGCCGGTTCTCGGCAGTACTTTCGTCACGCTCTGACAGCGTGAGGAAAGTGCAGCCGAGAACCGGCAATTGCATTTCCCGGTGATCAACGTGTCATTGGACACGGCTGATCACGTGGTAAAAGGCCGCTGTGATTGGCCTTTTAACACATCACGTGATCAGCTGTGTATGTAGGACACAGCGATCACGGAGATCACCGGGGGCGCGCAGGAGAGCGCGTTCTGGGAGGACATCATGTGACGCCCTCCCAGAACTGGCCGGCCGCAGTGTAGCCGTCATTCAGCTATCTGCGGTCGGCAGGTGGTTAAAAGAAAGTGTCCATCGTGTAGGAATCCCCTGAGAGATTCATGGACAAAATCGCTATGTAGAGCCTCTGTGGCGGATTTAATGAACAAGGAATCTTTGCAGCAATGCAGGGACATGTTTTCTTCTGTCAAAAAGGAATTGTCGGAGACTCTGGGATCGTTTCGATCATTGTTGGATAAGCTGCCGGCGCTCCAGCTGGGCTTGCAGCAGAGCACCTTGTCCAGTCCTCTGCCGTCTGCCTCAGGCTAGGTGTAAAGAAAGGGAGCGTCCTTCTCTCCCTCAGAAATTCAGAGGAAGAGGAGGGTGAGGAGCATGTTGCAAGATCGTCCAGATGTAAACTATCGTTGGAGGAGGTGGACAATTTGCTGAAGACAATATATTCAACGCTGGAAATTCAGGAGGAGAAAGTCCAGCTGTCAGTTCACGACAAAATGTACCAAGGCTTGGGACAGGCTAAACATAGTCTTCCTGGTCCATGAAGTATTAGAATCGATAAGGAAGGAATGAAAGGATCTGGAAAGGGGCCCTTTCTTTACCAAATCCATAAGGAGAAGATTCCCCTTCGAGGAAGATTAGTCACTTGTATGGAACAAGAAATTGAGGTTGGATGCGGCGTTTTCGCAAGTTTGAAGGCTCACTGACTTGGCTTTTGAGGATATAGGCATATTGAAGAATGCAATGGATAAGAAGGCAGACTCTCTCCTTAAAAAAGCGTGGGACTCTTCCCTGACCAACCTCAAGCCAATGGCCTCCACAGAGGTGGCGAAAAATTTGGAGTGCTGGTTAGATCAGCTGAGGGATCATGTTGAGAGAGGGACCTCCAGGAGAGAGCTTTTGCAGTCTTTCTCTGTGTTCCTAAAGGCCAAAAAGTATATGACTGATGCATTGGCAGAGTCAGAATGACAGCCAGATCCTCGGCGTTGATCAACTCTGCAAGGAGGGCCATATGGCTCCAGACCTGGTCGGGTGACTCAGCATCTAAAGTGAAGTTATGTGGGATTCCCTTTTCGGGGGACCTGCTCTTCGGCCCAGATCGGGATCGGTGTTGGATAGGACGGCGGATAAAAAGAAAGCTTTCCCATCAAAAAATAAGAAACAGACGGTCAGGAAACATTTTTGACCTTATCCACAAACCCAGAGAAATAAGGAGCAGACCCAGAAAAGAAATTGGAATTTAAAAAAAAAAAATAGGGGTAAAGGAGGGGTGCTCTTCAGACCCCTAGAGCGACCAGCCAAGAGCCAATGACATCTCTCTTCCAGTGGGAGGGAGGCTTCGAGCCGCCTTCTCACAATGGGAAGAAACAACATCAAGTGCCTTGTCAGAAACATCATGTCCCAAGGGTACGGCCTGGAGTTCTTCTGGACCCCACCAACCAGATTTTGTATAACCAGTCTCCCTAGGGATCAGGAGATGGCCTCAGCAATGATGTCTCTTTTGAAGTAACTGATGCAGCAAGAAGTCATCATTCAAGTTCAAAGGGAAGAAGAGGGTCGCGGGTTCTACTCGCACATTTTTTTAGTTCAAAAGTCCTCAGGGAAGTTCCATTTCATTTTAATCTAAAAATACTGAACAAGTCCATTCGGTACAAGCACTTTCGCATAGATACAATTTTTTCAGTGAGGAAGCTGCTATCCCCGGAGTGCCTTACGCTCACCATCGACCTGTGGGATGCTTACCTGCACATTCCGATTAGTGCAGTCTTCTCAAACATTCCTCCAACTAGCGGTCAATCTGGGAACATCCATCTGGCACCTGTAGTTCAAGGCACTACCCTTTGGCCTGTCATCTTTTCCAAGAGTGTTCATTAAAGTCATGACAGGAGCACTAGAGCCTCTGAGGTTGAGGGGGATTTCGGTGGTGCCATATTTGGACGACCTACTCATGTTTGCAATAACCAAGGCGCAGGTGCTGTTAAATCTTCAGGCGACTATGGCTCATCTAAGAAGCTTAGGATGGCTTTTGAACTTGGAGAAGTCCAACTTGATTCCAGCCCAGAGCGTAAGGTTCTTGAGATATACCATAGATTCCATACAACAGAGGATATTCCTTCCAGAGGAGAAAATAGAAAAGATTCAGTGCAACCTGTCCGTGTCAGTTTGATTGGCCATGTCGGTTCTGGGACTGCTTACTACCTCCATCCTGGCAGTTCAGTGGGCCAGGTTTCATCCCCGCCCTCTCCAGTGGGACATCCTATGAAAGTGGACATACCAAGATCCGCTGCACAGACCTATAAAGATTGCTTCGAAGGTAAAGAGGGTGCTTTGGTGGTGGCGAGATCCAACCAACTTGGGGAGGAGTCTGCCATGGTCATTTCCAAAAGCTGAGCTCCTAACGACAGATGCAAGTGCATGGGTTTGGGGAGCCCACTTCAGAGATCAGATGGCACAGGGCTCGTCCAAAGTGGAGGCCAGGTAGTCCTCAAACTGGAGAGAGTTGAAGCCATCCAACTGGGTCTTCTTTCCTTTCAGCAGTTGGTGAAGGGGCAACACATACAGGTCCTCTTGGGTAATACAACAGCTGTGGCTTACATTTCAAAGCAGGGGGGCACAAGGAGCAGGGGACTGCTCGAGTTGGCACTAGAGATCCTGTCCTGGGCGGAAAAGAATTTGGCCTACCTCCTTGGCCATTCACTTAAAGGACTCGCAGAATCGGCTGGCGGATTTTCTGAGCAGAAGAAAGGTGATAGAGTCTGAGTGGGGATTAAATCAAGAAGTGTTCCAGTTTATCACAGAAGCTTGGGGTGTTTCTCAGATCGACTTGTTTGCAAGCCACCTAAAGACAAAGTCACAGGTGTTCTTTTCCCATCACAGTGAAGACCAGGCAGTGGGCCTGGATGCAGTAGCTCATCCCTGGAATTACCCTTTGTCCTCCATGTTCTCTCCATTTCAGCTCATTCCTCTAGTACTTCGGGCAGGAAACCACAAATCTAATTCTGATAGCACCCTACTGGCCAAAAAGGCCTTGGTTCACAACACTCCTGAAGCTATCCTCCAGACCCCCCTAGAAGCTGCCAATCAGGAAAGATTTGCTAGTTCAGGAGCCAGTTCTGCATCCAGAAGTGGAGCGATTCAACCTAACAGTGTGGTTCTTGAGGAAGAACTTCTAAGGAGAAAGGGGTTATCAAATAAGCTTATTGTCACCTTACTCTTAAGTAGGAAAGCAGTAACTAGAGCGATATATCTTAAAGTATGGAAGAGGTATAATTCTTGGTGTTCAGAGAAGGGTTTCCAGGTGAACAGAGTCACGTCAGTCCTGGAATTTCTCCATGAAAGATTGAAGAAGGGGCTAGCTGCAAGTACCCTTAAGTGTCAAGCAGCAGCTTTATCTGCATTCCTGGAGAGAAAGTTATCCCAGGAGACGCTAAGTATTAGATTTTTTTAAAGCTTTGGCCAGGACCAGGCCAGTTTCAGTTAGTTTTTCCCAAATGGGATTTGTCTTTAGAGCAGTGGTCTCCAAACGCGACCGTTTGCGTGCTTTTATCTGGCCCTTGGATCACTACTTCATTCACTGACACCAACGAAGGGGCACAATTCCTCCCAATGACACAAACATTGGGGCCCAATAATACCAGAGACATTCTTTCCAATGACACCAGTAATGGGGCACAATTCCTCCCAATGACACCAACAATGGGGCATTGTTTGCGCCAACTGATGCTGAGATATTTTCTACTCCCGATGGCCACAGTCCGGCCCTCCTAAAGTCTGAAGGACAGTAAACTGGCCTTTTGTTTAGAAAGTTTGGAGACCCCTGCCCAGGAGGAAACTTTGGTTCAAAATTTAGTTCTAAAGACTATTTTTCTAATTGCCATTACGTCGAGTCAAAGGATAAGTGGGATCCAGGCAATTTCTGAACCTTAAGTTATTTTTTCTGAACAGGTGGTCCTTACAGTGGATCCTGGTTTTCTTCTGAAGATCTCCTCATCCTTTCATCGTACGCAGGAAATAGTATTGCCTACCTTCTGTACAGCAGCTAATCCGGGGGAAGAGGCGTTCCATATTCTGGACGTGAGAAGATGTCTTTTGAGATTTTTGAAGGTGTTGAAGTAGTTTAGAAAGTCAAACTCCATATTCATACTCTTTATTGGTAGTTGCAAAGGGGAGAGAGCCTCCAAGAGTACCCTGGGCAGATGACTCAGACAGGCCATCAAAGAAGCCTACAGGGCATTAGACAAAGTCCCTCCAGAAGGGGTTGCAGCTTGGGCTGAAAGGACTGGTGCATCTCTGGAACAGATTTGCAAAGCGGCTACGTGGTCCAGCTTTTACACATTTATACGCCAATATAGAGTGGACTTGTTGGCTGCGGCAAATCAGTCTACCTGCTCCTCATACTGCCAACAACCTGGAAAAAAGCTAATAAAAGCAGTGAAACGCTTTCACACCTGGTATACTCCTCCTGGGTAAGGCTGACTTACGGATTCCCTGCTATTTCTGGCTGTCCACCAAGAGCAAGGATCCTATGTATGGCAGATGCAGTGACAATGTGTCTTCTCCAACTTCTATAGCCATCTAGTAAGTAGCATTAGTACAGTTCTACTTGGTTGCTGTACTGGACGGTGGCGTAAACATGCATATGCCTTATCTAGAGAAACATGATATAGCAAATCTTCCTGTCCTCTCAGATCAATTTGCTGTGGTGATACTCAACTAAGGAAAGCAATAAAAGGATTTTTCTCTTTGCTGTGAAAGTGTACTATCTGCTTTCTCAATGACGTAGACCACAGACATACACCTGTTTTCTTCTATTGTTTTGTTGCTCAATAACATGG